TGCTATAAAAAATGTAGGAGAAAATCTCCGGACAAAAAATCAAATACTGAAATGAACAAAAGGCAATAAATTTTGCAAAAGTCGTTGAATCAAAATTTCTTTTACAGGAGACACAACTTCATATCATGATTATAAAGTATACCCAGTTTCAAAGAGATCGGTAGAAAAATGTAGGAGGAGATCTCCGGACAAAATTCATATACTGAAATGAACAAAGGGCAATACCTTTTGGAAAAAATGTTGAATCAAAATTCTTTTTAGGGAGACGCAACTTCATATCATGATTATAATGTATACCAAGTTTCAAATAGATCAGTCGAAAAATGTAGGAGGAGATTGCCGGACAAACAAAGTTTACGCCGGATGGACGGATGGACGACAGAACGGACAACGCCATACCATAATACTACCATCAAATTTGATGGTCGTATAACAAGGTGGCAAGTATGACATCCCTTGCAGTACATATTAATGCACAAAGTCGTGACACGAACATAAAGTAGGTTGCTAAACTGTCCCTATGAATAAAAAATGATATGCATTAATCATATAACGTGAATATTACTTAAAAATCAAATTGTCACTCAAGCATTAAACTGCTCTCTTTGGTTAGTTATTGTCCTATATAATCCTGTGGGAATTATAAGATCGATATTCATTTTCTTTTAATTAATACATACCTGTAAAATATAATTTTGTTAACCATAAAACCCCATGTTTTTCAGGTATTTTAGTGCTTTTCGTGCTATAAATATTGAGCTTATATCTATGACTGCACTATCTGAAGGTTTCAGTGTATCGTTTTCTTCTGAATTCTTCAATGTATCGGTACCTCATATGGATTGCAAGTTAAGTTTCAAGGTACATGTGTTTGATATATGATCAAAATTTTAAAATCAAAATAAATAATTTCAGACATGAGAAAAATATTTTAGACTATGTTATGATATGGTCACACTAACAAGATCGTTTGATTTAAAAGCAAATCCTATCAGATGTTAAATTTTGTGTACACAATCATTTGGGAAATTCACTTAATATGTATTCCTGCATACGATAATAACAACTGTATAATGTAACAAAGCAATTCTAGTAAAAAAAGACAAAATAAAATATTACATAATTTAAACACCAAATCTGAATACTGCAGAAATTTGTAATTCTTTATGACAACGTAGCTGTCAACCGGCCTTCATTAGGAGGGAGACTCCCACAGTTAGACCACAATTTACCAATCTGCCAGGTATTTCTGAATCAAATGAATGCTTTTTGGAGTTATTTTGATTCATAAAAAGGGCAAGAGTTTTGGCAATGCAGTTTCAGTCGTGTTTCACACACTTTCTCCCTCACTGGAAATGTGGAATGAGGGAGATCTCCCTCCTTGGAGGTTTCAGAGGCTGACATCTATGATGCAGCATAATATTAAAGCTGTAAATGGTATAATATTTTTTACATTTTTTTATGGCAAGATGACTTGCCATCTAAAAATGACCACTACATTTATTACATTCTGTATGTAATTGACCAAAGCCTTTGCTTATTAGGTACAATGAATGTACTGCCTCTACATGGCCTAGTCGACTGTACTGGTACAATGAATGTACTGCCTCTACATGGCCTAGCCGACTGTACTGGTACAATGAATGTACTGCCTCTACATGGCCTAGCCGACTGTACTGGTACAATGAATGTACTGCCTCTACATGGCCTAGCCGACTGTACTGGTACAATGAATGTACTGCCTCTACATGGCCTAGCCGACTGTACTGGTACAATGAATGTACTGCCTCTACATGGCCTAGCCGACTGTACTGGTACAATGAATGTACTGCCTCTACATGGCCTAGCCGACTGTACTGGTACAATGAATGTACTGCCTCTACATGGCCTAGCCGACTGTACTGGTACAATGAATGTACTGCCTCTACATGGCCTAGCCGACTGTACTGGTACAATGAATGTACTGCCTCTACATGGCCTAGCCGACTGTACTGGTACAATGAATGTACTGCCTCTACATGGCCTAGCCGACTGTACTGGTACAATGAATGTACTGCCTCTACATGGCCTAGCCGACTGTACTGGTACAATGAATGTACTGCCTCTACATGGCCTAGCCGACTGTACTGGTACAATGAATGTACTGCCTCTACATGGCCTAGCCGACTGTACTGGTACAATGAATGTACTGCCTCTACATGGCCTAGCCGACTGTACTGGTACAATGAATGTACTGCCTCTACATGGCCTAGCCGACTGTACTGGTACAATGAATGTACTGCCTCTACATGGCCTAGCCGACTGTACTGGTACAATGAATGTACTGCCTCTACATGGCCTAGCCGACTGTACTGGTACAATGAATGTACTGCCTCTACATGGCCTAGCCGACTGTACTGGTACAATGAATGTACTGCCTCTACATGGCCTAGCCGACTGTACTGGTACAATGAATGTACTGCCTCTACATGGCCTAGCCGACTGTACTGGTACAATGAATGTACTGCCTCTACATGGCCTAGCCGACTGTACTGGTACAATGAATGTACTGCCTCTACATGGCCTAGCCGACTGTACTGGTACAATGAATGTACTGCCTCTACATGGCCTAGCCGACTGTACTGGTACAATGAATGTACTGCCTCTACATGGCCTAGCCGACTGTACTGGTACAATGAATGTACTGCCTCTACATGGCCTAGCCGACTGTACTGGTACAATGAATGTACTGCCTCTACATGGCCTAGCCGACTGTACTGGTACAATGAATGTACTGCCTCTACATGGCCTAGCCGACTGTACTGGTACAATGAATGTACTGCCTCTACATGGCCTAGCCGACTGTACTGGTACAATGAATGTACTGCCTCTACATGGCCTAGCCGACTGTACTGGTACAATGAATGTACTGCCTCTACATGGCCTAGCCGACTGTACTGGTACAATGAATGTACTGCCTCTACATGGCCTAGCCGACTGTACTGGTACAATGAATGTACTGCCTCTACATGGCCTAGCCGACTGTACTGGTACAATGAATGTACTGCCTCTACATGGCCTAGCCGACTGTACTGGTACAATGAATGTACTGCCTCTACATGGCCTAGCCGACTGTACTGGTACAATGAATGTACTGCCTCTACATGGCCTAGCCGACTGTACTGGTACAATGAATGTACTGCCTCTACATGGCCTAGCGACTGTACTGGTACAATGAATGTACTGCCTCTACATGGCCTAGCCGACTGTACTGGTACAATGAATGTACTGCCTCTCCATGGCCTAGCCGACTGTACTGGTATAATGAATGGTCTGCCTCTACATGGCCTAGCGACTGTACTGGTACAATGAATGTACTGCCTCTACATGGCCTAGCCGACTGTACTGGTACAATGAATGTACTGCCTCTCCATGGCCTAGCCGACTGTACTGGTATAATGAATGGTCTGCCTCTACATGGCCTAGCGACTGTACTGGTACAATGAATGTACTGCCTCTACATGGCCTAGCCGACTGTACTGGTACAATGAATGTACTGCCTCTCCATGGCCTAGCCGACTGTACTGGTATAATGAATGGTCTGCCTCTACATGGCCTAGCGACTGTACTGGTACAATGAATGTACTGCCTCTACATGGCCTAGCCGACTGTACTGGGCATAATTCTACAATGTAGCTATGAAGAATTATTTGATCAACCGAATGATTGGAATATTGCAATTTCACAGTATGCCGAAATTATGTGACAATGATATGTGTTCTACCATACCACTTGATAGCAACAGTTTTTGTTATTCAGGGGTCATCTGTATTTTATGTATCTACACTAAATACAGTGAAATCAATTATGTCAGAGGGCCAGGGGCAGATGAATTGTTTTGAAAGGGGGTTCAAACAAATAATATGGCACAATTATAATAACAAAATAATAACAAAAAAATGCAATAATTGCATAAAATAATACATACCGGTAAGTATGACAAAATGTAGAATAATACAAAAATAATATTTGGAAGTTTCTAAAACTAGCAAAAAACTCTTAAAGAAAACTTATATTTAATGGCAAAAATATTAGGTAACTGTAAAATCTTGACTTATGCCTTTAATTTTATTGGTCATCACACTAAGCTTACTGCCAACATATCTTAACCCATTCACCCCTAAAGTCACATTTGAACCTCACCAAATCAAAGGCTGGGAAAGTCCAGTTTAAATAGGTAGGGGGGAATTAGTTAATGTTCCCTTTCTTTAACATTCCTTTATAAATCTGCCTCAATCTATGACTAAGCCTCTTTATAACCCCGCTATAATTACTCACCAGACAAATGGTAGCAGATCTAGATTACAAACGATTCATAAAACTGAACAATTGAAAATTATCCTCATTGTGTCCCCTCCAGTTGTAATTACTGACACCTGCTAGTTATATACAAACCCATAGGAATTGCATATTGTTTACATTTGAAGAAAAATGTAGTTAATACGTCAGCTGTTTTCTCTGTTTTTTGATGTATCAATTTTCAAGACATTCAAAGCAACAATGATGTTTGAGAGAGAAATCATGGCACAATGTTCACAAAATTTTAAAGTAAATATTATTAGAAGCTGTTTTCAGTAAATGAGCTCAAACAATTTCCTTTAACCATACACACTATAATTATAATTCTGTATCTAATTCTGAACAAGTGTAATCATACAAGTATGTGTATATATTACAAGTATGTGTATATATTACAAGTATGTCTATATATTACAAGTATGTCTATATATTACAAGTATGTGTATACCTAACGAAAAAACACTGTAACAAATGTATCGTAAAAATACTACAAAGCTGTATAGTCAATATTTGGTACTCTGATCATGGCAAGATTTTTACTGATTCCACAACTGTTTTGCAGTAATGCTGGGGTTTAACTTTGCAGACTGAAAACAAATACAAATAATAAAATAATAAATGAATGCATTGACCGACACACTTAAATATTTATATCTTATGGCAATCTTTTTTTATTTTTATCTATCAAAATAGAGATATACATGTATTTAAAATTGAGATATCTATATATCAATCTGATAAGAGATATCACTATATCTGGTATAAGTAGAGATATCTGTATTTCAATCAATTTCAATTTGAAATATCTGTTTTTATTATTTTGTCATTCACTGCATTAAACGGATGAACAGAAAATATTCTCCCCACCATCATCATTGCAATGAAAAAATACTTCTTTACTACTCTATAATGGCAGAAAGTAGATTCTGTTGCAAGTTTTTCCATGACTCGGATTCAAGTGTTCTGTGACTCAGATTCAAGTGTTCTATGACTCGGATTCAGGTGTTCTATGACTCGGATTCAAATGTTCTATGACTCGGTTTCAGGTGTTCTATGACTCGGATTCAAGTGTTCTTTGACTCGAATTCAAATATTCTATGACTCGTATTCAGGTGTTCAGCGACTCAGATACAAGTTTTGCCATGACTCGGATTCAAGTGTTCTATGACTCGGATTCAAGTGTTCTGTGACTGGGATTCAAGTGCTCTGTGACTCGGATTCAAGTGTTCGGTTACTTGGATTAAAGTGTTCGGTGACTTGGATTCAAGTTTTGCCATGACTCGGATTCAAGTGTTCTGTGACTGGGATTCAAGTGCTCTGTGACTCAGATTCAAGTGTTCGATTACTTGGATTAAAGTGTTCGGTGACACGGATTCAAGTGCTCGGTTACTTGGATTCAAATGTTCGGTTAACTTAATAACTACACACCTGAATCAAATCGCGCGAAGTCATGGCAAAACTGGCAACATTAATCCTACTTCCTGCCACTTAAGGGCAGTAATTATAAATAAAGTAGTAACTTTTTATAGCAATTAAATAGAGATATCTTCATTGATATAACTATCTTAATTACATTTTTGATTCGATATAAGATTGCAGCTAGCTCTTTTTCTTGTAAGATTAGACATATCTGTGTCAGGATAGAAATATCTGTATTTCAAACACGAATCTCTATTTAAATAAGAGACACGTTTACTTTTCAAATGTAGATATTTATACTCAAAATGGAAAATCTGTTATCCATGGCCTCCAATTCAACAATTAAGTGATATGAATGCAATGTAATTATCACGTTTTTGCAGGAATTGTTATTGAGCCACACATATCTCTGTATAGACCAAGAAGATGTTGTGTTACAACGATCGGTGGTATACGAGTATATTGACCTTTGAACTCATTATTTGGATTTATATTCTGCCAGCTGCGATAATGTAATCCTCTCCATCGTGCCATAGCTCTGAAATGACGATTAGTTTTGGCCTTGTAGGTAGGGAAGAGTTCTAACACTCCAGCATGGTAAGGTAACTCCATGATATGACTCATACCAGCTCCATGCATGCCAACGAGAATGTCTGTCTGCGACACCCATTTCACTTGGTCGTTAATTTCGTGTTCATCCAGCTGTATCCCAGCAACACTGTGCCCGGGAAACACTTCCTGTACAGCCTCTATCAGTTCTTTTTCATTTTTTATTTTCCTCGAGATCGTCCCCGATGGATTCCCTGGATGAGCGACATAGTTTCTACGCCACACGAACAGTATTGAAACTCCGGCACAGTCCAACACTTTTGGTCCAGTATTGTATCTGGTTTTAAAAAAATGTGAAAATTCCTCAACATATGGTAGAGAGTTTAGAGAATGAAAGTTCATAGGACTGTTGTATCCTATCACAGCCCAAATAACCTCTTTGTAAAAAACTGGTTCCTTCATGTCCTTGACTTTCGTAACATTTCCAAAGAGAACATCCCAAGCCTTGTCCAGAACGGAAGGTGAGTTTCGATCCGTTAGTACCACATCCAAATCATCCGGCGGAATTTTCAAAAGTTTTGCTACGAGAAAAGCATTGTAGAAGTCTGTCATCTGGTGATAAAGATTTGCATATTCATATCGTAACACAAAAATAGTTTTCTTTTTCTGAACGTTTTTACTTTCTGTCACGGAAGTGTCTTCAAGTGCTTCCAACCATTGGTTGAGGTGGTTTTTTGCACCCATTCCGTTAGTGAACTGGTAATTCCGAAATTTTCTGGAAGCACATTTCAATTTGAAGTGAGTTTCTGGGAAAACCTCTACATCCCTAAGAATGGCAAACTCGTTACCGTATCCCGTAAAAGTCCCCTCACAAATCTGTGTGGGCCGATGCAGCCATTCTTCATCCACATTGATGTCATGTACGATGTAAAGGTAGTACAACTGATGTTTTACTTGCTCCAGGTTCAAAATTTTCTTAGGCACGAAAAAGATCACGATCAAAACCATTACCAGCAAAGGTAAAAAACATTTCACGGAATTCTTCAGTTTCAATTTCACCATCGTTGATATTTATTTTACTCTTTTCTTTGACGTACATGTAGGAGTCCCATGTTATCATATCTTAGATTACACTGAACTTTTGTTATCCAACCTGAAAATGTTCTACAATAATAAAAAACCAGGAAGTTTAAACTGGTGATTTAGGTTTTTCTTCATCATTTTCCCGGTAAAGAAGCCAAATAGTTTGCAAGAAAAAAATATGAATGGTAATAAACTTAGGTTGGTCTTATTATTGGTTGAAATTTCTTTAAAAAAATCCTGGTTTACCTGAAGTTTCTGTTTCTAAAGAGGAATTTGAGGTAATCTCCTTTCGTTCTAAAGTTTGTTTAGAAGATTTTGTAGCGTGTTTAAGTTAAGGTGATCAGCTGAGGATACTACTATAAGTGGATTGCTTGCTGTCACCACCAACGCTGTGCCATTGAACATGACAAGGTCTTCCACACCTCTGGCTTTCCCCTATATGGCGACAGGTCTTGGCTCCTGTCCATTTCCATTAGTCAAATTTCTGCAAAAACATAACAAATTCTGGTCAGTATTTCAGAGGGATAATTATTTTAACAAATAACATTAAGTTCACAAGTTCAACATTCTGGAAAAAAAAATCTCTCTAGAAATTTTAGTTTGATCTGAATACCTTTGTCAGCTTTCATAGCGATCGTCAAGGCAACCAAAACCATTGTCTAATCATAGTAAGTGACCTTGACCTTGTGTAACCAAAGAGGTTTAACAGAAACTCAGTTATACAAAACTAGTCACTAATACATAAATTCCTGAAATTCTCACAATCAAACTCAGTCTCTATCTCCCAAATGTATCTACTGACCAAATTTCTTAGAAATCAAATCCTTATATTATAAGAAAGGTATCACACGGAAACAAAACAGACAGAGACCAGCTGTGCCACGCCTAAAATGAACAGATACTCTATTGTAACAATAAGGTGCATATATACATGTGTATTATATAACAGAATCTTACACAAATATACTTGAATACAAATGCATGCATTTGCCATCTCGTAAATGGCTTCATCGGTGATTTATAAATATATATCTGGCTGTAATAATAAATCATATACTTTCCTAAAACAGGGTAATTTGTACAATATATTGCAACCTAAAAAGATTATTTATTCTTGCTTTACAATTTTTTAGCCCCACTTTAATTTTCACATAATTTTCCAAAGAGTTTAACTTACATTCATTTTGAAAATTAGAGGGAAACCAAAAAAAACATTAGCTAATGATCAAAACATATCTTGACTGCATAAAATTAATATTTCATTTCTGTCCAGTTATAGCTATAATAGTTACCCCAATTACTGAAGATGAAATGAACTGAAACCCAGTATGACAGGAATCATATAAAAAAATACTACCAGGTATCTAGATAGGTAGTAAAAATGTACATGGAAAGTATCTTTATGAGTATGTTCACTTAATTAGTGTCTCTTGAATCTCTAGGCCTAAGTTCTACTAGTACTTCTGCCAGCTGATCAGTGAAGGCAATCAATTTAGTCACCATACAAATCAGTAGGACAATTAATCCACTTTATCACTGTACCTAGAAATGATTAGCTAAAGTGCAGTAGTCAGTTAATGATATTGTACCTGTTGACTAAATGATACGGTTACTGATACAGTAAAATGGAAGGAAGTTGGTGTTCCTGTTGGCTTAATGATATGGTTACTGATACAGTAAAAAGGAAGGAAGTTGGTGTTCCTGTTGACTTAATGATATGGTTACTGATACAGCAAAAAGGAAGGAAGTTGGTGTTCCTGTTGACTTAATGATATGGTTACTGATACAGTAAAAAGGAAGGAAGTTGGTGTTCCTGTTGACTTAATGATATGGTTACTGATACAGTAAAAAGGAAGAAAGTTGGTGTTCCTGTTGACTTAATGATACGGTTAATGATACAGTAAAAAGGAAGGAAGTTGGTGTTCCTGTTGACTTAATGATACGGTTACTGATACAGTAAAATGGAACGAAGTTGGTGTTCCTGTTGACTTAATGATATGGTTACTGATACAGTAAAAAGGAAGAAAGTTGGTGTTCCTGTTGACTTAATGATACGGTTACTGATACAGTAAAAAGGAAGGAAGTTGGTGTTCCTGTTGACTTAATGATATGGTTACTGATACAGTAAAATGGAGGGAAGTTGGTGTTCCTGTTGACTTAATGATATGGTTACTGATACAGCAAAAAGGAAGGAAGTTGGTGTTCCTGTTGACTTAATGATATGGTTACTGATACAGCAAAAAGGAAGGAAGTTGGTGTTCCTGTTGACTTAATGATACGGTTACTGATACAGTAAAATGGAAGGAAGTTGGTGTTCCTGTTGACTTAATGATACGGTTACTGATACAGTAAAAAGGAAGGAAGTTGGTGTTTCTGTCGAGCTTAGAAACTGGTGTTGAGGAAACTAGAGATGAACATATACACAACGTCTTCCTCCTCCTCCTCATAGTCACCAGGAATTCCATGCCTATACAGACACTGCCCAATTACCCAATTCAAATGTATTTAAGTCTGCAATTGCAGTATTTAACTCTTTCACTGTCTATTGTCTATGGAACGTCCTACCCACAACAATAATCCAATCAAATACACTAGCAGAATTCAGGACATGCACATACAACATAATTGAACATATACAAAACCTACAACATAACTAACACTCACTCACTGCTTTTAATCTATTTTTATCCTATAGGAAAAAAAACCCACACCAATAATCACTGTACATAATTAACGCACAATAGCACAATGACCCTACTTCCGTTATCGACGGAGGAAGTCTATTAGATGAAGATGAAGATTAATGTGTTCAGTATATTTTTAACGAAAATGGTTTGATCTTATAATCTAAACTTAACAAAAAGAATGTTTTCATCATTTCATTGGTCACCTCTGTTCGGAACCAACACTGCAGCAAGTGCACTCAATATTTTGAGTTATGTTGCTCGTAAGCATGCTATAACATAACAGACGATGGTTGTCCTAAGCTTCAGTTGAGCTTACAGTAATTAGAAAGTGATGAACAATGGTATATATCCACAAGGACTGCAGTATACAAATATAAAATCTTATCGTGTAAGTAGAAAAGTTGAGTCTTACTAATTAGTCGACAACATGATGGGAGGGAGAGGTGTTGATGAAGCGAAATGCCTCAGCCACTCGACTCTTTTTGAACAACGTAGGAAAGAACCTTGAATTCGGTAATTCAATTGCCTTAAAATCGAAGCAGAGAAAAGACTCAGATTAGTTTGTTATCGTTTTTCGGAACTTCTCTAGAGTTAACCATCTCATATGAAGCGCATGAATGTAAATAGATTTCCGAATGATGTCATATGATAAGAAAAACAACAATGGCAGAGGCTGTGAGGGAAAGACGCAGTTCTCGTAAAAACACAAAAGTATGACACAAAACCTTAATATATTTTGTACTTGTTGGTATATACATTCTTCTATTTATAGTATACTTTCATGTTGACTGTATGGCATCGATAATCTATCGCTGTTTTGTTGGCGAAGTAATAATGAATTATGTCTGCAAAAGTGTACAACACTGTACAGTACAGTAAACAGCTGACTTTTTATCAAAACAGTTGCATGGTAATATGTTTGGCTTTTTGCATAAACTGTGTTTACATATGTATGCCTTCAAAATGTATACACATCAGTATCCAATCTTTATTATAGAATTTGTGTTTCTTACGGCATTAAAGCGTAATGCATAATCTTTACATAAGGTTATACATTCACTTTCAGTTTAAGCTTATATAAACTTCTCCACTTATGGCGCGACATATCTGACTAAGCTAATCTCCTTAATTGTTTTTGACAGGAAAGAGCCTTTAACAGTTATTTAAGATTAGGTCCATTTGGAATTACTTCGCAGCTGGTCCATTCACGCAATGTTTTATATTTGTAAAGTGAATCGTTTTTGTTTTTTTAAAGTTTAAAAATAGATTTATACATTGAAATTTAATTTGACAATTTGATTATCAATTGCAAGTGCAATCTGCATCTGCGTGCATATCCTTTCAGTTTTTTAACAGCCACTCATTATAATAGCCAAAAAATCTTCTGGCACCTACAGTTTCACAGACAGATGTCTGGTGTGTGGTCAGAGCGCACTTCTATACCCAAAAGTGTAATTCTCCAACAACGTTTGGTGTTGCTAAGTTTTTTGATAAGCTGATACAAAATATTATGAATGACTCAATGACATGTAGTCATTCATTTATACAAAATCACTCATTTAGTCACAATTTAAAATCACTGTTCCATTTTATCTGTACAGTCCTCAGCTTACCAAGTTTCAAAATTTCTCACTGGAACAATGTCATTTGCAGATAGATGTTTACATTGTGAATAATTACTCATTTGTCAATACACAGGCATGGTTAAAAAATACCACCATATACTACATGTATACATATGCTGATAATTAGACCATCATATGACCATTTTGATATCACACCCTATATCAGCCAGAGGGCCAAATTGGGGGTGTGATATCAAAATGGTCATATCATAAACTTTTTATCATATGTCTTTTTCCTTTAAAATAAACAAAACTTACACAAACAAAATATTTCTTTATTTTATTTATATTCATAAAAATGGTAACAAAAACAATGATGTATATAAACAAAACAGTAACAATTATACGTAAAAAGTCAACATTTAGAAATTCCAAAATCCCTACAAAATGATATGGTTATTAAAATTTGGTTGGGGCTTTGTAAATCAATCTTTAAATTATTTTCCATAAAACGGCAGTTATTCCATGCCAACAATTCGTTTGTTTGCATTAAAAGTTAAAAGTAGACAGCAATAAGCGGAAACGGCAAAATCCAGAAATTTGGGAGGGGGTGTGATATCACTTTTCTAGGGGATGTGATATCACTTTCAAGGCAGTGGGGGGGGGGGNTGATATCAACTTGTGGAAATTTTAGACTTATTACACATACAAAAAGAGTGTTATTATTAGTAAACATATGATAACAATATATATACCACAAGCTACTTAAGCTAGCTCATAATTACAACGATGTCATCTGAGCAAAACTGAATGAAATATGAAGTATGCAAAGGATCAACGTGAGCTTATGTCATACAAGGTTTTTGCCAGCTATTTTAGGAAAGGGCCCCAAAGCAGGAACTGGGAAAATATCATAGGCATTTGGCAAAAATTTGGAGATATCGGTGTTCCCACAAGTACAGGTTTGGGAAAATATCATAAGTTTGGAAAAAATAAAACCTGCAATGTGATGAGCAAACACTTTAGCTGTTTCTTACTGTAAACTGGATAGCAATAAATAAACAGTTCAATTCTCATTGATTTTGTTTATTCCATTTCAAATTTTCATTATTAATGTATTTTGAACGCTCCTTCATGGATGATGATACTTTGAACGTTGTACATATAACAACGGGAAACTTGTATAAACATGCTTTTTAATTCAATTGGGATAATGAAAACTGAAATTGGGAAATTGCAGGGTCATTATTCAATTAGGATTGGGTCCCTGTAACAGACCCTATACACACCTGACAAAAACCCTGCCATACCACAGCATCTGTTGTCCATCTGTCAACAATTTATTTAAATGAGTTCTTCATTGCCGCTGGAAGGGGGCAAGGGGTGGGGGCCAATGAATTTTGCAATATTGATTTACCGGTATGCAATTTGTTCTCTGAAACTCAGAGATGCATATCAACCATATTTGTCTGGAAGCACACAATTCTACAGATGGAGGGGCAAACTCTCAGGGGGGCTGAGGGCAGGGCCAAATATGGATAATTTTGTCATATATGATATTGATTTAAGCCACTTCTTCTCTGAAACATTTTGGCTGCAAGCATTGTGAGCTGGTAGAGATTCAAAATCTTTCAAATGGAGAGGCTGACACCCAGGGGGCTGAGGGTCTACAAAATATCATGCTATCATCGTTCATGTAGCAATGAACTTAGATTAGAAAGCATCAATCCATGATCTAGCTTATTCCAGAAGAAGCTGAAAGGACCTATAAGACCTATATTAATGTTCATAAAATATAAAAGTGGAACAGCAGTTACTATACCTTATAAATAGACCAGTGAGACTAAAAAAATGTATTTTACAATTTCATGACAGTTTGTTCTTGTTCAACAGCAGAAGAAACAAAAAGCAAAGTCTCCAAAGTTAGGAATAACTCTGGAGGATGAAGGTGAAGCAGGGTTGGAAGAATTTTTACAAGACCTGGAGACTGATCCGTCATTAATTCTACCACCATCAGAACTCTCAGCACAGACAGAGACACCTGGTGGTCACAATGCAAAGGCGGAGGAAACAGGGGGACATAATGCTGTATCAGAGTGTGAAGGGACAGAAAGTGGTGACTTGAGACTTAGGGACACAATACCTGATACAGATAGGAAAGATTGTATAGGTGAGAAATCTGACAAGGAAACAGCTGATACTATGGTATCTACAGTTTACACTGCAAAGGAACATGACAACTCAGAACCTCAGAGGGAGAATAAGGACAAAACTGACATGAAAACACCGGTGGGAGAAACTGAATCTGAGGGCAAGAGTGTTTCAGAGGTTGAAGTGTCATCTGATACTCAAGTATTAGGGACTCAGGGGTTGGTTTCACCTTCTCAGTCTGAAGATGTCATAAGTGGACAGGAAAGTTTTTATTCAGCCACCTCGATGCTCAGTGATAAAGAATTAGGTCTGACAGTTTCTGACAATGATGTCAGTCAGGTGATGTCCGATGACAAAATTGCACCGGACAAAACTGACACAGAAAAAATGGAAGCATCTGAAATGAAGACTGATTCTGGACCTCTATATCCTCAAATCACTCCAGTTGGTCCAGACACATTGAAACTATTGGAAAAAGACCTTGAAAGGTTAAATATAAAAACTGCATCTTCACAGCACAATGTTTGTACGGAAAATCAAAAGTCAAAACAGTTTGAGGAGCCGCGTCCTCAGGAGTCTGCACCTGCCATGATTTCTATGAAGGGTGTTGTGGAGAAAGCTGCTAAATCTAAAAGTGAACCGACTCTGGTTCGCAAGTTTCAGCCTCTCACTTTGGAACAACTTCAAAGCTTATACTACAACCCGGAGCTGGTCAACAATATCCATTTCATCGATAAGTTTGTGCAGGTTTGTAGATGTAGTAAAAAGAATAAAAATTTAATTTCAATATCCAGAAGAAATTAAAGTACGTTAACGCTGTTCCGGTTGATGTAAATAAAGAGAAATATCACAAAAATTGTGAACAAAGCTAAAGCTGTGCATCATCAAAATAAACATTTAAAAAAAATATCTTCAAGATTTATTTAAAAAACAACTGAGATACACAGAAAAATTAATCAAGGTTACAGTTATTTCAAACTTTCAAGAAACAATTTCAAGCCATTCCTCACTGTGGTAGTGTTTTTGTTACATTTGAGATAATGTCTATGCTGTACAAAATCATTTAAAAAAACACTTGGTTGGAACAGCATGAGGCAAAAAAGGAAAACCATGAATTCCTGGAGATCTTAACGAGCTATCTCAGTGCTCGTCGACATTTCCAGCAGGCTGACGGAGAGATTGATGCACTACGGACAAACTACTCACAAATGTTGGAACAAGTGTGGACAACAGCCAAACATTCTATCAATGCTAAAGTAAGTCAAAACATTACTGTTCAATACAGCCCACATCTTTGAATTTCAAGGGTGATGCTCTCAATGAACCTATCTTATTTTCCCAATTTGAATATGACATGACAAATTTGAGAGATTGCATTTAGCTATTTGATAGGTTTGGGGTAGGAGAAACTGACAGATTGCTATGGTGATGCCTGTCATTTGAAAACATCCAGTTCCTTTGATGTACATAAACGGATTGAACTTGTATCATCTGTAAGGTGGGATGTACATAACAGTCAGTATTGTCGTGACATATTCAAAGGGATGTAGAGAAGTCGAGAAGATATGCGTTTTCAGAGCCTTGGATTATGAAGATGTACAATCAAGCACCAAATCAATGTTAAAGCAAGACAACAAAATGTCTGTGTACAGTGGCAAACGCTTGATCAAGGCTTAAATAAGTCGACAACATAAACGACGGTCATGATAACTTTTGTCTAAGGTTTGAATAATCATGATAGTGTTAGGATTTGCAAGGCATCTTTGTTAGTTCTTCCCATCAATGATGTTTCTTCAAATATGGTTTGAAAATGACAGCTCAGAAATCAATATATCTTAAAATGTCTTTAATATGTATAAATCTTTCCTTTGTCATTTTTTCTACATAAACCATTTGGAACTTTATTTAGTTACAGTCGTTCCAGGGTCTTTTGTATGTATTTTCCTGATAATTATTTTTAACTTGCTCACAGATATCGCTTCAGATTAGTGTGTTATTGATTGATTGATATATAAACTAGTTACCATAACCAGTTTTCAATTTTGTCTACAGGGGCCTTGTGGGGATGGATCCCAGTGTAAAACTACCCATCTCTACGACATGTGCGAGTTCAGTGAGACAAATTTTGGAAGCATGAAGCAGATACTTGAGTCTATACGTCACAACATACAGAACCAATTTGCCTTGTACTCATATTCTGTACAGCTGGCAAAGTAAGTCATAGTAACAGATGGATCTTGTATTGTAAACATCTGGCAAGATTTATCATGTAACCTAGAGAATGTTTTACCCTTAGATCTTTCAATTTATAACTTGGGGCTGCAGTGGCCAAGTGGGAAAGGCATCTGACCGTCTAGATCGTTAGCCATCCAACACTGGATCGCAAGTTTGAGGCCTCTGTGGAGCATTCACCAGCTAATTCTTATTCCATACTGATACAGCTGTCATGGTATTTTATACAACCTAAAATGTAATATTTGTAGATAACTCAAATTCCATACAGCTGTCAAGATAAGTGGTATAACAAATTGAAGAGAATATTTGATCTGTAGTCCTGTATATGTAGCCTATATTAACATTGTGAACAGTCCACAAGCTTAATGTTGATTAGCGTTAATGACATCAGATCCGCACTATCACAAGGAGGCAAGCGCACCAAAATACCCTGTCTCCTGCATGCATACACTACACGCATGGAGGCACATTCTTAAATGACCTTAGCTGTTAATAGGAAGTTAAACAAAATTAAACCATCAAGGTTGCTTACAAACCACAGATCCTGTCACTATATAATATATATACCAAGTATATATAGTTAAAGGCTAAGGTTTTTTTTTTAACCCAAAGAGGAATTGGAAACTTGTTTAGTCAGCTAAGAGTGTAAATGACACATTTCTCGACTCTAAACCGCTAAAACAACTCTCTAAGTCAAATTGTGCAGGATCGGTAAATTAAGCTGTCAAAAATCGTAGAGACAGCTGACTTTATTGAGTCAGCTTAATGTGTTTTCAGCAGTTTTCAGCAGTTTACAGCGAGGCGAGACACCAGAAATTTACACTTTTTGCTTGACAAAAGAAACAGATGTTTTCAAAAGCTTGCAAAATAAGTTTGTTTTTAATTTCTGTTTGTGTTCAAAACAAACCTAGCCTTTGTTATTCATACCAAATTGATGAATCTTATTCTGTATATATATAAATTTGCATATCATTAATTAAATTTGTTTAGAGAGTTAATTGTAAACACAGTTGCAATTTAACAAGAAAAATAAGGCTTTTGGTAGTTCCATATCTTGAATTGAAATCTATATATATAAGTTTTGAAAGCTCACTCATGATCAGATTGTAACACATGAATGATATCCAGACTTCAGGTGGAGTCGTACATCCATGATCTGTTCATGAGGTCACCAGTTCTGCGGGAAATTCCAAGAAATGCTCCGGTCAATGGTAACTAAAGCGATATTCATGTTGTCGACAGGATTGTTCTTTAGTAGAAGTTCAAATTATATTTTGAATAGGACCAAGGATTCATAAATGCCAGAAATGTTTAAGAACATTTTTTTTGGATTTAACTCATGCTGTACAATTTTGCACCACATATGTATCTCAAAGCCTTGGTTCCAACACATCTGACATGATATCAAGAAATTAATGTTCAGCACCAAATTCAGTGAAGTGAAGTTTTAGTTTTATATTATATAGAATATCAAATAAAAATAGTTTTCTTCAACTGTTGCAGCTTGTCTACATCACAACTCTAATGACGAACATCAGATCGTGCGACTGCGGGAGTGTATCTCCATCCTATTCTCATTCCATCGCCGTCCAATCAAGGATGAGGAGTTTGTAAAGGATACAAAGCAATGGACCCTGAGACTGGTACAGTTGTGTTTGTCAATCTTTCACAGTTACAGGGTTCGCATGAGCCTGGAATTTACGATGTGACCTGGAAAAGCCATGAATTTCACTAAAGGCCTTGGAAAGCCTTGAATTTTGCCGTTCAATAATCCAAATATAATTGTCCATAATCATGCCTGTATTACACATTTAATTTCAATAATTATGTCTTAAAAAAACAACCAAAATTTAAACAAGTGTTGTCGTGTTTTTCCTGTTATTGTCGTTTTTAGTGACAGAGAAAAGGTAACTTCTAATTCTGCTGATCTTTATGAAGAAGTCTGAGAGTTACAATTGAGATTTTCTGAATGAAACACATTTTATTTTAGCAATATCTAACATGTTATTTGGTTTATAATGATCTGTATGAACCCAGAGTTAAAATGACATTTTTTAATTGAAATCTTTCAAAACCAACTGATGAATTTTAGGGTAAGGAATTAAAAGAAATATATATCAAAAGTTTGAGAAAGACTCCTGTTTGTTTTTATCGGTAGGTGTCAGCATTGGCGAGGGTGGCCAGTTACAACGATCATCTATTTATCCTGAATCATGTGTTACGGTGCCCGGCAGGGGTTGGGGAGTGGGCTGTTGGGCTCATACAGGTCCCAACTATTTCCCATGCTACGTCGCCACCCATCAATATTGGCAGCCCGGTCCTTGATCACCTGATGACTTGTCTCGCTACCATTCTCATGCCCATTCGGTATGGAATCACCACTGTTCAATTCATTGATTCTAATTTTGAATATTAAGTGCATGTTTCAAAATAAATTTAAGCATTTGAATGCTTTCAGGTGATTTACCTGATGATTGTTTTTCAAAATCCGAACAGTTTAAAACTGGTGTTATTCAGGGTTTCCAGTAGATACCTGACATTTTACAGATTCAGAATTTGATAACATGTTAGTAAACACTGGATACACAAACTGTTTACAGGGGGAGGGAAGACTTCATTTGTCTGATGAATGAAGCCATAACTCCAGACCCTCAACATGGCAACACATGGATAATGGTGGACTCTGACGGAGAAGAGGTTTGTAGTTCTGGTCAAGATTGATAGAATCTCTCCAAGTATAAAATTTTTGAGGTTCATTACAAAGTATCTCTCCAAGTATAAGATTTTTGAGGTTCATTACAAAGATTTGCCTCACTTTCCATACAAATTACTCCAGCTTGTAATGATGGACCTGATGCTCAGTCTCTCATGATTCACACATGAAACCCTCTGGTTAAGTTGTAACATTTTCAGAATAAAAGTGCATGTCAATTGTTTTTTATATATTAAGTAGATCAAAACAGATCAATCGAGTTAAGAAACAACAGATTTTTTTCTGTCACAAGTAAGTCTGAAGATTATAAAACTTGTAACCAATTTTATTTATTCAATCAAAGCCTTTCTCTCCTGTGTCTCATTAATTTAATTGTGGACACAATTGTCAATTTATTTTTCTAAGGACGAGGATCCAAAGAATGCATGGATGTATCTCCTTGAAAATGATATTGTGGCCATATTAAACCAGATTCCAATGATGGAAGCATACAAACACATCATGCTGATGACAAAGAACAGCGACGGTAACTAAACGCCCAGACTCAGTAACAAACAGTTGTCTTTTACTCCTTGATGTATTGTTGACTGTTCTGTTTACTTGATGATAGCCAGTTGTCTGTTAATTTGATGATAGCCAGTTGTCTGTTTACTTGATGATAATCAGTTGTGTGTTTATTTGATGATAGTCAGTTGTCTGTTTATTTGATGATAGCCAGTTGTCTGTTTACTTTATGATCTATAGTTGTCTATTTGTTTAATCGACGGAAATTAATATGTTCAGTTTCACCTGTAGATTGTTTAGGGTACCCAGTGTGATGATGTACCTTAAGATGTCAGCCTTGATATTATTGTTTAGGGTACCCAGTTTGATGATGTACCTTAAGATGTTAGCCTTGATATTATTGTTTCACTGATAGATTTGTTATGTTACTCATGATCAGGTACAGAGTTGTATCCTCATACTTAAATAAATCATTGTGTAAATGGGATATTTTTGTTCAGTTGTAGAACAAGATACTATGGTCGACATAATGCATCTGTTATATCTTTGATAATTTTTGTCTCAAGAGTATTTTCATTCGACTAAAATGTAGGTCTCGTTTGTGATATTTTTATTACCTATAGATTTGTTAACAATGTGATGATGCATTTTGTTTGATTTACCTGTGATATTTTGTCACACCTGTGGATTTGTCAGGTTGTTCTTACCTGTATATATTCATTAGGCTACAATTTAAGTCTATTAACTTTTGTTTACCTGTACATTCATCAGGTTACATGGTAAATCACTGTTTACCTATTGTTCTTACCTGTAGGTTCGTTAGGCTACAATGTGAAGCTGACAACAGACACAGTGATAATCAAGCTGTTTGCCTTTTGTACCTGTCTGATTAATCTCCTGGGATGGGGCCTGCAGACCCACAGTAAGGGACGATACCGACAGCTCAACAAACGAATCGGTCGAATGATCAGGTAAACAGGAGCTTTCATTTGATACTTGACGTTTCCCTCTGAAAGTTTGAAATAATGTTGTTATTTCCATACTTATATTATCTAAGTACATTTTGCTACTAACTATATGAAATGTAACTGCATACTGAAATGAAATACAAAGAATATTTTATTTCTATACTTATACTATATTTCAACTAGAGTAAAGAACAAGGTCAGTAACAAAATATCTTTATTTTACAACCTTTTTCGTAGAGCCACATCAATTAGGCATTTTACTAAGTTCACTTCCGGTTTTGAGGGCTGAAAAACGTTAGAAAATTTGTATTTTGTTTATGTCATGTTTCTGTTAATATCATGTTTTTCGCTGACAAATGGGAAGTGATATTAAACGGAATGTTATTTGTATTCTGTAGAATCATGGTAATTTTTCACATGTTTCTAATGCATAAAAAGATATATATTAACAAAGTTTGAAGTTAGGATGTAGTAAGTAAATTTTTATCTTCCAAAGCAAAATTCTGTAAAATACTATTAAATAAATGTTGAATGTTTCTGGATGTGTTTCAATAGATGCAGAACTATTATATTTAATTTTGCCAGTCAATCTAATTCATTACCATTTACCCAAAGGGATGTGTACTTGTACATGACATTCAAATATGACTTCAGGCTACTTTTCATTCAGTATATCAGTCTGCCCTTCATTTTATCTTGGGTTATAAATATTCTGTCATCTACAATTATCAATTTTTGTATGTGTCATTATTATATACCTAAATAAGGTCATTATATATAGCTTTGGCTCTCTTTGTCGATGTTCGTTTCTCGTACTAGAGTTGAAATGTGTAGAGTTGGGAGCTAAGGATTGTTTGCTATAACGTTTTTTTTCTATTTACAAGTACGATGTACTGTGTAACCCCTATAAGTAGAAATTGAATAAGTTGAATACCCCTTGTAACATGAATAAACTAGGAGATGGATTAACATAAGTACTTTGTACTTGTTTTCGAATCCTATATGTATATCATGTTTATATTACTGGAATATTAAACGGATAATAAAGTTTAAACTAATAAACATTAAGGTTGTATTTTCATATGATTTATTTCCCATCCAGAACACTATGGGGTTTTTTTTGGTCCATAGTGGCTAATGCAGGTTCTACAGTGCATATATACTTTAAAGGACAGTAGGTGTACCTGGATTTTGAACACGAATTTAATAACTACCTTTCTTTTTCCTGTACAGACAATGTGTACAGTATGTATCGGACCACTGGGAGAATTTCCAGGAGGCTAACCGACACTTGTTGCCATTGGAACTGTTGGAGAGACTACAATTGGAGTATAGTCAGTTCTTCCTGAGGGCCACAAATTGTATACTTACTGCTCAAAGGTACTATACCTGGACTAAAGTCAACAAGATTTCTACCATAATTATGTTGTTCTTTTAATTATTCTGAATGATAAAATGATACAATATGTTAATTAAAGGTAGTTCAGTTCATAATTCGTATCATCTAATTTTGATGAAAATGCATTTGACAGAAGAAACTTGCATTGTGCAGTGTTTTTTTTATTTATTTTTACTCCAAATTAGAAACTTGCTTTGAGAAACAAGAATATTTTTTTATCAACCTGGAGAAATTCTAATTCTAATGAAACAAAATATGTGGTTACTCCGATATAAATTTAGTTTTTAGTATTTCAAGTTGATTTTTTTTTATCTTAGATAATTAAGACTACAAAATTAGAAAATGTATTTTGATTAATTCTTCAGACTGGGATGTTGGCAGTTCATGACAGACATGCCCTACTCAACATTGTCAGGGGAGATGGCATGGCAACTGGTGTGGCTTTTCCACCAGGGACGGGGACAGACCATAAACCTGGATGCTCTGCCTTCAGAGGAAATCTGTAGGAAGTTTTTCTCCAGTAAGTGGTGTCTGATTCTAGAAACGTTTGCATTGATTTGAAAGCTATTATCCAAATGTATTGCTTTATTTAGATATTCAGAACAAACATAGGCTTGCCTCTTTTCCAATCCATAGGTTATGAACAAAAATGTTGTTGAAATGAAATATTTCAGTGTCTGTATATTTTTGTAATTGCTTTATCTTATCTCTTGTATTATTTAACATAAGGAAATGTAAAATTACAATGTTTTCATTATTAGACCCAGACAGCAGACACCAGTTGTGTGATTCTGTACAACAGTTACCAGCGTCGGAAGCTATCTACCTCCTCACTGCACTAGCCAACATTGCTCAGAGCAGACGACAGCAGGAGAGCGACATCATACATACCATCTGTCTTTGTCTCTTTGAGGTCAGTCTGTCAAAGGATGCAATTGTGCGAGGTATTATAGGGAATGCTTGGTCAGTAAAAACTGTCGAAGGTATTAAAAGGCATGCTTGGTTTTTAAAAACAAACTGAGGTACCTAATGGCGACATTGACCGAGTCGTTAAGGCGTCTGACCGTCTATGATCGAACACTGGGTCATAGGTTTGAGGCCTTCATGGGGCAGTCGCCAGGTACTAGACACAGGTTGGTGGTATTTCTCCGGATACTCCGATTTTCCTCCACCACCAAAACCTGGGAAGTCCTTAAATAACCATAACTTAAAGCACAAACAAACTAAACCTATCTATAAAGCTTGTCTGTATAAGGGTTCTAACTGTCGACAGGGTTATTATCATGGCAGTATTTTGTGATTTCTCGTGGTTATTTAACTTAGTTTAATTTTAATCAGGTACCAAATATTTTGAATATTTCAGGTGTGCTATGTGTGTAGCAGCACCAGAGAGATGTGTTCCAAGGTTGGTAGGGAACTGCTGGCTGCCATAGCAACCATCCACCCGTTCATCTTGTCACTGTTGATACAGGAGGCCAAAGACAACATGGAGAACATTGGCATGGTAGCATTATTATTGATTATTATCTGAATACACTGAAATTATTCAATTCACAAGATGTTATGTCAACATTGTTTAAAATAGTGATTAGACAAATTCACATTAACTTGTATAAGAACAGTTAATTAACTATTATTCAATATCATGTATTGACTTTTTGGTCAGAATCCCAATAAATATGTTCTCATATAAATGATCTTCAAGATTATGAGACATTAGCATGTAATATTATAGTAAGCATTTGCAATATTTTATCAAGTCAATTTATTTTATTTTTCATAATACATTTTTATGTTAAGGTTATTTTTGAAAAGAAACGTTATACAAACTATTAACATGTATTTATATTTCATAAAGCTAATACATTAAGTAAAATTCAAAAGTTTCAATATCAATGCTAACATTAACCTGCAATTGAGAACAATATATGCATATTTATAAAGAGATCATGTCGGAAATGCTATATCAATATATTCTTTTTAAGATGGCTGTTTACCTGTTCAAAGAGCTTCCGTTTGATGTGTGGTTACCTAGGGAACATGATTTTGATGTGATAAGGCAGTGGCTACTGACCACAGATCTGACCGACCCTGGTAATCAGGTGGCGCGATTGGTCCTAAACAAGATCCACTGGGGAGTCGAACCAGAGGTCAGTATGACGTGAACTTGACTGAAAGTCATGGATAAATATCTAATAGAATATATACAGATATTAATAATTCCAATGGTCATGATCAGTTTTGAAACGTTTTGAGAATATAAGCAGTTACCTGTTGGTTTAGCCTTAATACAATTACTTAAGGAAAAGGTTTCAGTTTGATCAGGTTATGAAGTGATAACTCCAGCCTTCTATGATAAATTACCTGAAGCTCAACTAGAGTTATCCCCCCATAACCTGACGAAAATAGAAAAAAAATCCTTATATTTACCGTATTTTCATGCAGATGTTTAAAAATTACTTTATTTATTAGTCAGATCCAGGGACATAATTAAATTTCATTTTCAGTATTTAATAACGTGTGATATGTTTGATAAAAGTAACAGCCTGAAATTTGCATAAGTCTGCCCACATCTACTGTTGATGTTGTCACATAACAGCTGTTTCTTTTTTCCGAAAAATTTGCAGAGATCGGCCCAATTGTTCTGATGTCAAAGTCATGGAAACTTGACTTGTTCTGTGGTCAGCTGATAATATCAGGAGATGATAACACTAGTTTGTGCGAACACTCAATTTGGTTATGGAGTGAATATCAGTTGTATAACAATATGATGACAATCATTATCTTTGTTACTGTTACAGACAAACCGTCTCTTTGTACCGTATGATTTCCACAAGATGACGGCCATCCTTCTGACTGAAGCCTACGGAAAGTTTGTAACCAACAAGAACCTCGGCTTCTGGTTCCTCGAGGGGATGAAACAGGTGACAGGAGGCTACGTTCTAACAAAATCATGCTGATCAAATAGGAAAATATAATTATTTGTAACTTTAATGATAATTAAGATAATGATTTTACAAGACAATTTTAAAATCTAATTCTCTTCCTAAAACATTTGATTATTCAACTTGGAGTTTTCAAGATATTGATTGGTCATGACTACCACTATTTTCTGTCAGACCTCTGTGAGGCATGCATACATTGATAAACACCCACTTTTAAATTTGAAAATGAGATGATCTCTTCTTAGAAGTTGTACATTGTACTGTCAGTGAAACCTTTAAAGAAAACGTCTGCATATTTTCATTTTTTTTTGGATGTTGTTTTGAGTAAATGAAGTAATATTTGTCTAACTTGAATTGATGACACACATTCATGACTAACAAGTCTACATATATTTTTGTTTTGCAAAATGAGTTATGTCCCCTTTTCAGGTGGCGTTGGTGGTGAAGCAGCAACAGACCAATGAGCAGCAGTTTAACAACTGGTCTTGGGAGGTGGTGATGAAGCTCCATCTACACCTCAGTTGTCTCCCCTCCCCTGACCTTGCCATGTTTCAGTCTGCTGGGGGTCCCCCTGACATCACCAAAGACAACTCACTCCTGGCTGTATCTAAAGGTGTTAAAGAAAACAACCCTATGGCCAGTTTTGTGGCAGTCATTTGCTCAAGTCAAGGTCACAAGTATGTACCCAATCAAAATGAAGGACACAAAATTGTTAGTGATTGTATTTCTCAACACAACGATGAACACAACGATGAAGTTGGTCAAGTGACAGAGAATATGAATGCTTTTAATGTCAATGAACATACAGATGATATATTACACACAAGACATGGAAATTATTGTAATGTCAGGCAGTCTATTATAACCAGTCACAGTGCAGGACAAGCAAAAACAACCAATCACAGTGCAGGACAAGCAAAAACAACCAATCACAGTGCAGGACAAGCAAAAACAACAAATCGCACCGCTAGAAACACACATGTAGGCAATCACAGCACTAGAAATACAGATTTAGCCAATCACAACACAGGACAAGCAAATTCAACCAATCAAAACACAGGAAACACACACATAGCCGCTCGCAGAACAAAACAAATGTCAGTATGAATGAAAACCATCATTATCTCTCCAGCTTATCTCTCTAGACAAGCCAACCATCTTTGATATTGAGATAGAGATAACAGTGAGGGCCACTAACTCCATCTTTTATCATTATTCAGCTACTATCAGTTTGCATCTGTGAAAACAAAGTTCTGTATATTGTGTCTAAATCAAGTTGAAATTTTCTTCTAAGAAATAATTCATTTCTTTGTAAAGTATTTTGTGTCTGACTTGACATTTGCTGTGGGTGTTACAGTGCCACAGAGTTCCTGGCAGAGGGACTCAGTCAGCTGTGTAGTCTGGTAGAGAACAACCATTACAGGCCAGCACTCCTCGTACTTAACTGTACCATTTCACTCTTCCTCAACAACCCAAAGGTCGTCAATGAAAACGCTAGGTGAGTTCTCTAAGTAACTATTTAGTTGTATGAGTACTAGCATTTCCCATGAAGCTAACTCAAGCTGGCTTGCACAAATGCTGTTTATTTAGTTATTATTGACCTAAATACATATGTTCTCTGATATTCTTTATACTTAAGTGTCTGTTTTGTGAATGCAAAGGAGATTCCTGGAACAGCCTCATGTCACCAAAATGTTTGCTTCTAACAGTTGTCTCATGTTATTTGAGGGTAAGTGTGAACACACCTGTCCAGGGTAAGTGTGAATACACCTGTCAAGGGTAAGTGTGAATATACACCTGTCTAGGGTAAGTGTGAATACACCTGTCCTGGGTAAGTATGAATATACACCTGTCCAGGGTTAGTGTGAATATACACCTGTCCAGGGTTAGTGTGATATACACCTGTCCAGGGTAAATATGAATACACCTGTCCAGGGTAAGTGTGAATAAACACCTGTCAAGGGTAAGTGTGAATATAAAGCTGTCCAGAGTAAGTATGAATACACCTTTCCTGGGTAAGTATGAATACACCTGTCCAGGGTTAGTGTGAATATACACCTGTCCAGTGTAAGTATGAATACACCTTTCCTGGGTAAGTATGAATACACCTGTCCAGGGTTAGTGTGATATACACCTGTCCAGGGTAAGTGTGAATATACACCTGTCAAGGGTAAGTGTGAATATACACCTGTCAAGGGTAAGTGTGAATACACCTGTCTAGGGTAAGTGTGAACACACCTGTCCAGGGTAAGTGTGAATATACACCTGTCAAGGGTAAGTATGATCACACCTGTCCAGGGTAAGTGTGAATACACATTTCCAGCGTAAGTGTGAATTCACCTGTCCAGGGTAAGTGTTAATATAAACTTGTCAAGGGTAAGTGTGAACACACCTGTCCAGGGTAAGTGTGAACAAACCTGTCCAGGGTAAGTGTGAATACACCTGTCAAGGGTAAGTGTGAACACACCTGTCAAGGGTAAGTGTGAATACACCTGTCCAGGGTAAGTGTGAATACACCTGTCCAGGGTAAGTGTGAATACACCTGTCCAGGGTAAGAGAGTTAGTTTCATACACTTCTACTGATCATTTGTAAATGATCATGAATTCACAACCATACAGGTAAATACATCTTTTTGTTTATAAATCTTTTAGTTGAACATGTACCTTTATTTGTCTTTTCTGGTCTGTTTCAATAGGTTCATGAAGTGTATCAGCAGTCTTTTGTCAGCTGACGATTCCTTTCTCAAAATAAGCAAACTGTGGACCCAGGAGTTTCCTGGACCAATGACAAAGCTTTTCTCTTGCATGATCCAGGTAGTTCTTGTCACTCACAAATCTCTATAGACAAAAATAATATCTTTATAAATTCCTCAATTTGGAATTTGGAATTGAAATTCCTTTCAGTATTTAAAGTTTTAAACTAACAATATGAAATAAAAATAATGTATTGCAATATATTAAGTTATTTCATCAGGGATCAGTTCTCGGTCCTTTTTTATTTCGATTATACATTAATGACATCACTGATATAGTCCAGAGTAACATTAAGCTGTTTGCAGACGATACATCATTATATGTCATCGTAGACGAAAACCCACAACTAGCAGCAGATTATCTTAACCAAGACCTAGATAGAATTAACAACTGGGCTAGTACATGGGACATTAAATTTAACCCCTCTAAAACCAAATCATTATTTTTTTCTAGAAAAAAAGAACCTATCCATCCTCTAATTAATTTCTCTAATACTTGTGTAGATAATGCCCATGATCACAAACATCTTGGATTAACTTTTTCTGAAGATGGCACTTGGTCTACCCATGTTCAATTAATATATGAAAAGGCTAGTAAAAGAATAACAATACTTAGGTATCTGAAATATAAGATTGATAGGAAATCACTATGCAAAATATATACAACATTTATCCGCCCAGTGCTTGAATATGCAGATATTGTCTGGGACAACTGCTCTGACAATCTTAAAAATTTATTAGAATCTGTACAACTAGAAGCTGCAAGGATTATCACAGGTCTAAGGAAAGGTACATCACACCAAACTCTATATAAAGAACTAGGTTGGGAATCCCTGTCTGATCGAAGGATGAACCATAAGCTAACTCAGATGTATAAAATAACTAACAATTTATCACCCACATACCTCCATGACATAATTGATCCTCTTACTCATAACCCAGAAAATGATAGGTATACTCTAAGAAATGTAAGAATGTTTAACCCACCACTATGTCGTACAGAATCCTATGCTAAAAGCTTCTTCCCAGTAATGTGCAACAAGTTCAATGGACTTGAAAATGATATAGTACATTCCCNGATGAACCATAAGCTAACTCAGATGTATAAAATAACTAACAATTTATCACCCACATACCTCCATGACATAATTGATCCTCTTACTCATAACCCAGAAAATGATAGGTATACTCTAAGAAATGTAAGAATGTTTAACCCACCACTATGTCGTACAGAATCCTATGCTATAAGCTTCTTCCCAGTAATGTGCAACAAGCTCAATGGACTTGAAAATGATATAGTACATTCCCCTACTCTTAATAAATTTAAGGCCAAGGTGTATAATAAAATATGTTGTAATAATGATATCTCGGATGTATTTAAAAATTGTGAAAGCAGAAAGGGTGACATAATCCTATGTCAACTGAGAAATGAGGCGAGTAACCTGAACTATGATCTATTCAAAGATCACTTGAAAGAGTCTCCATCTTGTCTGTGTGGTGATGCTTAGGAAACTGCTACACATTATCTTTCACAATGTCCAATGTATGCTAATGAGAGACAAACTTTAATAAATGAGATTTTTGAAGTGTGTCCGGTTAATCTTGATACTAAAACACTTCTTAATGGAAGCACTGTGTTAAACAATACTGAAAATAAATCTATACTTGATAGTGTTCTAAAATATATATACAACACAAGAAGACTTGTTTAACTAATTAAAACAATCTATAAATTTTGTTATATATAGTCATAAATGATAAAATTACTGTCCTTAAACCATTATGTGATTCTACTGATTGTTATATTTACATTGATGTTTTAATATTATACACCTAAGGGATTAAGCTTTGTAAGCTGTTTTTACTGATGGGTGCAATAAAGTAAAACATAAATGTGCTAAGTTTGAATGCTTAGTGTTCTGTGGTTTAATCTGGATTCTTCTCGAGTGGATGATATGTGAACGGTAAAGGCCGTTAGAGACTTTTTGTCTGAAACTCGATGGGATGAAAGATTTACACATAGAACACTGGCAATACATCTTACACATATACTACATTATCAAAATCTTCTAGCTGAATTGCCTCATTTTATTTTTTCATATTTTGATGTTGTTGTATCCCTTACTTTTTATCACTCCTACCAATGATATATATATTGATACTAAATGGTTCTATACTTCTAACTACTTCATGCAACAGCAGCAGGGTATGAACAGGGGGCACTAATGACTTGCAAAATAAAAAACAAAAAAACAATTGTAGCAATTTCTCTGTTTAATATATCATTAGGGCATTGCTTTCCTATTACTATTTAATTATGATTGACCTTTTAATATAAGCATTGTATAGCTAAAAATATCAATTAAATATTTATATGTAATTGAAACATACATGGAATTATCTCCCCTATACCATCTGCTATATATATATATATGTCTATGCTACTTATTATATATGATTTGCATCAATATTTTCTTACAAACCATTTCATTCATCTTTGTCTTTGTCATGTCAACCTAAGGAGAGAACTTATATAGGCCTAGCCTGCTGTTCAATCCTATTGTTTACTCAATAAAATAGGATGAAATATTAAGTTATTTAGATCCGTAGGTTTGGACTTGAGAATGTTTCAGAAAGCATAGAATCACCAAAAGAGAATGATATTGTAATGAAACTTTTCCTGCTATGCAAGCCTTGCATCGCACAATCAGACACTAACTTTTATGAACGATTCAATTAAAAAGTTTCTTTTTTGCAGGATTGTATAGACAAGGCCGCTCATTTACCAGGTAGCTCAGCCCTGTTTGCGGCAGTAGACTTCTGGATTCGTGTCATCGTCAAGACAACCAAGTGGTTCCAGGACAGGTGATATCTGTTTCTTAATCTGTAAAACGTTTTGAATTTCTTTTCAACAAATGTTCAAGGAAACTGATAAGATAGTATAACAGGCCGACACATTAACTCTGAACTGTTATTTAGCTCTTTCTTTAAAGCTCAATCACCCCTGAAGACACATTTGAACTCTTCCAATGCAAAGGTTGGAATAGTTCATTATGAAAATTCAGGGCTGAATGAGTTAAACCATGTTGTTGATGCAGATTATGAATCCTTGAAAACTGTGTTAACTTTAGTGGCTCTGTTATGCATGGAAATAGGTATTCTGGATTATTTTCATGAGAAAAGATGAATGATCATTTGCATGAGAAAAGATGAGAAAGCTTT